CCGAATAAATTTACTAAGCAATCTAAGTGAAATGGTTAATTTAAGTGAAATTACGAGTAAATTTATCATCAAGTTAAATATGGAAAATCTTAAACTTACCTCGTTGCGTAGAGTATGAACCTCATTCTGCAACGATACTACCATCTCACATAGAGCGGCAACCTCACCACGTAAAGTAGACACCTCCACACGCCATGCACCATCGTTATCAAGTAGAGTACCGATCTCCTCATGCAAGGCATTGACCTCATCACGTAACTCCCTTGACTCATCCCATGGAGGTGGAGAATAGTGAGATAGAAGTCGTGGCATCTTTGCCAGTCGCCTATCATGAGGTGATGGTGGAGAAGAGGCTCGATGATGTGACGGGATAGGTGATGGCTCTCGTTGTAGAGGTGTATAGTCGGGTCGATCAGGTGATGGCTCTAGGTGAGGTGATGGCTCTCGAAGTGGAGGAAGTGGAGGCTGCTCATCATTCGTGCCATCAAGAAAACGCTGACTAGCTTGCCACCAATCAGTGACAAGCTCAGCCTCCATGGGTGTCAGTCTCATTAATGGAATGTTGGCCTCCTAAAAATATAAAAACTCAAACAAAGTTAAACGTCTACTATTAATAACTTGTTTATATATGATAGTATTTGTGTTAACTTACATTATTTATTGTCGTATATGGTATTAAGTCTTCCCAATCCAACAGACGTTTCCTCTTCCAGGAAATAGCCCTGGGAATATCATTTGAAGTTTTTATTGCATATGTCTTCATGGCGGGAAAGGCCTCGAATATCCAAATCTACAAACAATATAATAACAAACATTAGTAATTGTTAAATAATTAATTATAATTTTGAAAACATTATATAGAAATTCTTACCTTAAAGGCCCAAACAAAGCCTGACAAAGTGTATTTCGACCCATCGCCCCGCAAACTTTTGCGGTCATCAAAGGCAGACGACAACTTAGTCCAGGTAGCTTTCCATATATACGAACCCCACGGAAACAGATTCCATGCATTTAGGTCCTCTACCAATAATATTAGCTCCTGAGGAATAGGTTGTCTGGCCTCTCTGCCTAAAAAGCCGGCATACAAAAGTAGTAGAAGACATACTCGGACAACATCGACGTCATTCATCCGAGTAAAACCATATTTCTTATTAAACAATTTCTTCATGTCGTCGACGTGTAAGTTCGGCTTCTCTATTGACTCATCAGGAAAAACCCTGGATAACCATGATGGGCGGGTGATATGACGAGTGTACCGGCCTACATCATCGTGTCCGAATCGTAGACCAGTGATTAAGCAGAACTCCTTCCGCCCAAAACAAGTATACGCCGGTGGAAAATGAAACCATATCTCTTCCTCACCACGTTGTATACGGTCGGGTAGATCGCTAGTCATGGTCTGAAGCCACAAATGGGTCAAACTAGCATCTCCACCCGGATGCTGTACTCTCAGCCATGGCCCGAAGCAGGTTTCTTCAAACAATTTTCTTTGTGCAGGTGAAAGCTTCGAAGCAATTGTAGTGGCTATGCTAACTTTATTCCTTAATGTCAATGAAGCCGAAAAAAATTTCTACAAAAAAACAATAAACATACCAAGTTAGATATACCAAAAACTACACTGTCAAGATATACCAAAAACAAAACAATAAACATAAATAGTAGTTTATTCTTGAAACTAAAATTTGCAACACTGTTTTTGTCTTTTGGTTGAAATGAAAATCGCAACGAGATAATGAGAATCGCAACGCGGAAATGACTATCGCAACGAGAGAATCGCAACGAGAGAATCGCAACGCGAAATGACTATCGCGACCAGACAATCACAACGCGAAATGAAAATCGCAACCGCGAAATAAAAATCGCAACGCGAAATGAAAATCGCAAAGCGATTTTTGTTTCGCGTTGCGTTTTTTAGTTCGCGTTGCGATTCTCTCGTTGCGATAGTTATTTCCGCGTTGCAAATTTCATTCTCGAAACTATTCTTCTTCTGCATTACTTCAACCAAAAGACAAAACAAAGACAAATACTAACTTCACAGGCTAAACAGTTTAGCAGTATTGGCAGCAATCAAATGAATTTAATAAGAAATCTAAGTGAAATGGTTAATCTATTATTGAAATTACCAGTAAACTTATCATCAATCTCAATATGAAAAACCTAAAATAATGCAAAATATTCAAAAAAAAAAAAAAAAAACTAACACTCGGAGGTTGATTTTCCATTTCTGAATGATTGTGAGGGATTTTTGACTGTGAATGGTTGTGAGGGATTTCGCCGGCGATGGGGACGGAAATCTTCGGAGATGGGGACGGATTTCGCCGTAGAGAGTCTGAGATGGAGATGGGACTGAGTGTTGTGATTTTGGGTTTGAGGTTATGAGTTGCGATTACTGTGGACGATTCAGTTTCCGATTTATTAAGAAATAATTCGTGTTTGGAATTTGAAAAAAATACGCGTTAATACGAATGGCGCTATGTAAATCGCGTTGCGAAAGTCAGAATCGCGTTGCGAAAGTCAATATCTCGTTGCGATTTTGTATTATCGCATTGCGATAGTAAGTATCGCATTGCGATAGTCAGTATCGCATTGCGATTTTCCCAATTCGCGTTGCGATTTACTTATTCGCACAGCGAATTGGGAAAATCGCAACGACACTGTATACCATCGCAACGCGATTTCCAACTATCGCAACGCGAAATGCAACGCGAATTTGCGATAATGGAGATCGCGTTGCGAATTAGCGATCGCATTGCGATTTTGTTGGTCATTTTGGCAAATCCGGAAAAAGTTGGTTAAAATCGTATATTATATGGGATTTTTGGTCACTGAGATTATTTTCTCTTTTTTTAATTCAATTAGACTCATCTTATGATAGAATTATTTTCTATCCCCTTTGATTATTATTAAATTCACTTTCATAATTCTCGTGGGTAACTATGTAAGGCATATAATAATTTTACCTTAGTAAATTAATTAATAGGATTTAATACATAAGCTTTATTTATGTGATTTTTAACTTTAGTAATTTTATTTAACTAAAGATGTTGTGGCTAGTCTATAGTCTCATTACCATAATAAATAAATTTATTTAAGTTGTTGTGGTTAATTCTATAATTAAATAAAATTATTTAAATCACTAGACATATAATATAATAATTTATTACTAAATACTTTATGCAATAATACTAAAGTTTCATGCACCTAAAATATATATTATTAATAACCATACGATTTACATACATTTAATCATAATTTAGGCATATAAAATTCATATAATATTTTTAAATTATATTTTTAAAATTTTACATTATTATAAACATGTTTAATTTTAAAAATATCTCTGTAATAAAATCCAATGAGTTCAGCAATAAGTTTACAACGAAAATTTTCTCAAACTTTAGAAATCATGGAATAAAAAAGTTGAGAAACATATAAAATTTTAAAAAATAAGCAAGATAGATATTTAACCACGCTCTTGATACCAAATGTTAGACATGCATTTATACATCGAGCATAAATGCAGCGGAAAAAAGATCTTTGTAAATACCTCAAGTTATTGCGTACAATGTATGCCGAAATTCGGGATTTGAATATATCACCGTTAAATACGTCAAACCACCGTGAACCACCTTTGAGCACTTTAAACTTGGCTACACAAAAACTATAGCCGCCAAAGATCTTCTAAGCACTCAAAACAAACATCATTAGATGGAATAGATTTCCAAATGCTCTCAAATGGAATGCTTTGGAATAAATATTTTTTATGTTTAGGACCTTGGCTATGTCTCACATTTATAGTGTGGTTTGCCCATAAAAACCCACCCAAATTTCATGCCATACCCATATCCATAAAAAGTGGAATTGCTATACGTGAGAATGTACAAGGTGTGTGACAAACCACTTTAACAGTAGTTTTACTAACTACTTACAACAGTTTTGTTTACTGCTTACATGCCTAACTATGGAGTTTGTACGAGGGATTAAAAGCAGCTTGGGCGAGTGTAGCTGGGAAAGTTCAACTTGAAACAAACAGTGAGGATGTCATAAAGATAATAAAGGAGAATGAGAAACACGTGAATATTTTGATTGTACAACACAGATAATTTGATGAGACATGATTGGTAAGTGAAATTTAAAAATATTAAATGAGACAACAACAAAGTGTTTGATGGAATAAGGAGATATGCCTAAATCCTCCCCTAAAGCCTATATACCTTATTGGTACACCTGATGATGTAATGAATATGATCATATCATAGGAGATAGTGTAATCTCACTACCAATCCAACTTCCTCGCTTATAGGGCGTTGGAAAAAAAATTCCTCACTCTCATCAAATTATTTCTTAAATTAGAATGTTTTCTACAGTCTCAAGAGAAAAACGCATAAATTACTATGCGATTTCATTTTTTTTCCATGGAAGATGCGTCTTCAACTAACGTATAAATCATTCCCCCGTTAATCCCTTATGAAAAAAAGAAAAATAAGCTGATGTCTTGATAATTGTAAAGGTGACTTTTGCCTTTTGGTTTAAGGAAATTGATAATCACAGAGAGAAGTATAAATCATGTACGTATAACTAACGTAATTGTTGAAATATAAAACAAATGTTATAATTCATAACTGTCAATTGGATTTGCCCCCATGTTTGAGGTACGTGGAATCTTCCCTTTGTGTTTCGAGTTTCATATTTCGCGTCTTATATATTCTTTAATTATGTTTTATTTCAATCAAATTGTGATACGCGTTATTTTTTTATTAAAAAATAAAATAAATGAAATATTCTAATAAAAATAATCAGGAGTAATTTGATTGACTGTGTAAACATATAATTTTTAGGTAGTATGATTGATAACATTTAAATAATTAAATGGTTTGATTAATAAAATTTTAAAAATAGGTGGTCAAAGTAAAAAGTTGCAATAATCAAGTGGTTATACCTATAGTTTACCTTTAAATTTTAGCCTTTACAGAAAATGAAGAATCACGGATTCCCCCATTTTCTCTTGTTTCAATTGACTACTCCAGCGGCGTTCTTTTCCAAACAACTTAGGTTTCCGCTCTTAAGGTTTGGCGACTGAGTTATCTTTCTTTATTTTCCCTCTTTTTCCATCGTCTTGATTGAAGCATAAATTTGTTGGGTTTTGATTGTTCTGTTTGGGTATGGTTCTTTTTTCGGTCGGGATTGGGTTTTTGATTTGAAATGGAAAAACTGTATCAGAACCAAAATGCAACAACGCTAGTATCTGAAACCTCGAGACACCGCTACGTGTGTGTGAATCTTCTCTATCGCGGTGGATAGCAATTTCATAATACTGTTTTTATGGACTTTTGAAAATAATAAACGTAATAGTGAAATTTTATTTGTAAAAGGTGTTCATACTATGTAAATTGTTTAGTAGTAATTTGTCTCATATCAATTTGTAGTAAATCTTGGTAATTCGTTCTTTCAGCACTGAGATATGAAACTGCTGTTCTTATTCTGTCTTTTATCAGCCAGGGTACTCGATGGCTGAATTGATTTGTTTCTCAAATGTCTCAACAAATAAAACTTTGGCCTTGTTCTCAATTCTGAACTCTCTAATGGTAGTGGCTAGTTAGCAGGATTTTTTAGTGACAATTATATTTTGTTTGTGTCTGACAGTGACAATCGTTAAAATTCTTGTCACCACATATGAATCAAAAGTTGTGTTTGGGGGTGAGGGTAGGATATAGATATGTGCCTGACACGGATATTGTCATTTTTTTCTAAGTTTTTCAATATATTTGAAGGATCGTGCACCCATATCCATGCCTGAATATGTGTCAGACATGATTCTTCAAGGAAATGAAGAATTGGAGTAATATAGGTCACAAGATTAATAATGAAAACAGGTGACGAAATATAAGTTTGTCAATTATTATCTTTGGTGGCAGATTTATATATTGTTAGAGACCCCTTGATCCTCATTGAAAAGACTAGTTTCTTACAGTGTTGCTTATTACCTTTTGTTTTGGGCGCAGGGAAAGGATATTTTCAAAGAGTCTTTGCAAAGGGATGGCTAAGGGAAAGCTTATTGTAATTTCTCAGTCGGGGGGAAAATTTACATTAAGTGATGATGGTTCCTTGTCATATTGTGGTGGAGAAGCTCATGCTGTTAGTATAAACACTGAAAGCAAATATGACGAGCTGAAAGCAGAACTGGCAGAGATGTGGAATTATGATCCTGATTCCTTGACCATTAAGTACTTTCTTCCACACAACAATAAGACGCTTATCACAGTTTCTAACGACATAGACCTGCAACACTTGCTGGATTTTCACGGAAACTCAGCAACTGTGGATGTTTATGTCTTAACAAATGAGGATCAAACAAGTGACCAGTTGACTATGTCACCCAGTAGGTAGTATTCACTTTTCAATGCTTAGGTAATGAGGAATTATAGTGGTTCCTACCTGGAACAAATAAGATGCCTTGTGGACTTGTGGCTATAACTAAATTCATCTTCAAGATAACATCATTAGGAAGAAAGTCCAACCCTATGGTTGATTAATCTTGTACTCCCGTATCACCTTTAAAATCTTATGTGATTTTGGTGGATGCTTTGCAGGTCCGGATTGATGGATGATCCTGTGACTCCTAGTTTTACTCATGCTGCTTCTGTTTCTGGAGACACTGAGCAGCTTGATTCGTTGGCTTCTCTTGCGAGAGATATTGACATTCCAAATAACTTTACTCCTGAAGCTCCCAATGCTAGTGCACTTCAGAAACTTGTTAAATCATGGGAGAATTGCTTAACTGGTCCGGGGCAACAGTTTAATAATGCTCACGATTTTCGTGTTGCTTTGGACAAGTTCTCCATGGCTCATGGATTTGAATATACATTTAAGACTAACAGGCCTAAGAGTAAAATTGCAAATTGTAAAGCTGAAGGTTGTCATTGGACCATCCAAGCTGCAAGGTTATCTACCACGAAGTTGTTTCGGATTAAAAAGATGAGTGAAACTCATACATGCGGAGCAGGAAAAGGTTCATCTCGGCATCCCAAGGTCTCTAGTACATTGGTCCATTTTCTGGTAAGGGAAAAATTACGAGATTCACCAAATGCTAAACCAAGGGAAATTATTAATGAAATTCTTCAGGATTATGGATTCAAAGCAAGATATGCACAGGTGTGGAGAGGACTAGAGTCTGCCAAAGAAAAGCCTCAAGTTCCATATGACGAGGGTTACAATCAATTACCTAGTCTATTTAAGCAGATCTTCGAGAACAATCCTGGTAGCATAGCAACACTAGTCACCAGAGAGGACTTAAGCTTCCATCTTCTATTTGTTGCATTGCAAGCTTCATTACATGGCTTCAGGAATGGCTGCCGCCCCCTCCTTTTCCTTGACATTGTGACCATAAAATCAGAATATCAGTCTGAGCTGCTGACTGCTACAGCTTTGGACGGAAATGAGGGCATTTTCCCTGTTGCTTTTGCTGTAGTTGATGTTGTCAATGATGATAATTGGCATTGGTTTTTGTTGCAATTGAAATCTGCACTTTCAATATTCCAACCAATAACGTTTGTGGCAGATAGACAGGTTGGGTATTTAAAGCCTATTTCGATGATCTTTAAGAATTCTCACCATGGTTATTGTCTCTATCGTCTGATAGAGGGATTAAAAGGGGATTTCAGTGGCTCATGTACTGAAGAAGTTCTTCAATTAATTATCACGCATTTCTATGATGCTGCTCGCGCAACTACACTTAATGGATTCAGAAAATCTATTGAGAATATCAGAAATATTTCACCAGAGGCTTGTGAGTGGATCTTGCAAAGTGGACCTGAACACTGGTCAAATGCTCTTTTTCAAGGTTCACGATATGGACATTTTTCTTCAAATATTGCAGAGACATTTTATAGTTGGGTAACTAAACTTCCAATTATACCAATTGCTAAGTTGATTGAGACCATCTGCTGTAAGATGATGGAATTGATGAGTTCCCAAAAGTCAGATTCAAGCCAGTGGTTGACAAAATTAACTCCTGCGCTGGAATTCAAATTAGAACAACATATTCTGAAAGCTAACATGCTTCAAGTGCTAGTGTCACTCGGTAGCACTTTCGAAGTCTGTGACAGTTTGGGTGCAATATCTGTAGTGAACATTGATCTCTGGGATTGTAGCTGCAGGGAATGGCAACTGAATGGTTTTCCGTGTTGCCATGCAATTTCTGTCCTACAGCAATTGGGAAGGAGTTTATATGATTATTGCTCCGACTACTTCACAACCGATGCTTTCCGGTCAACATATTCAAACTCTATAAACCCAGTTGCAATGCCAGATATGGCTGTGCAAAAGAAATCCTCCACAATTGAAGTACGGCCGCCTGCTCTCCGTCATGTCTCTGATCCTTCCAAGAGGAAAAGGAAAAGAAACACACATAAAGGACCCTCTAAGCGGCTAATGCATTGCAGCAAGTGCCAAGGAGGTGGACACAATCGACAAACATGCCATCTATTCACAATCGACAAACATGCCATCTATTCTCGTAGTTTAATCGAAGTTGCTTCGGATATGTAAGATTGCTGTCGATAAAGCTAGATCAGATTATGTAATTTAGGGGTGGTCTTGGGAGTTATTGATTACTAGGGATAAGATGGAGCAGGATAGAAACGAGTAACCTTAGCTGTTGTGGATACTCAAATTTTGGATTGCTAATGTTTCTGTATCATTGTAGGGTTTAATCGTAAACCCAGTGTCATGAATGTTGTATTTGAGTTTTGTCTTTTGGTTCGAAAGTGTACTTTAGGATTAAAAGATAAATTTAAGGTTAAATTAAACCATTGACCACTCAATTATATAGTCATTTTACTTTTGTCATCGATCTTTTAATTTTGTCAATCAAATTATTTAACTATTTAAATATGTTCAATTAAGCCACTAACCATTAATGATTGACGAAAATGATGACGTGACAGTTAAAGAAATTAGCATAACTATACATTTAGTCTTTAATGTTTATATATTTTATCAATTTAGTTTTAATTTAAATGTAATTTAATAAATTTAATTTTCTAATCATATTGTGCCACGTGTTACAACACGAATGGATAATAAACCAACGCCTAAACCACTAAAATGCTAGGAGCACTTGCTTGGTTTCAAAATGTAAAATATAATATATAAGATATTGTAATGAATGAGAAAAAAAAAGTTAAAAAAGAAGTAATAATCTCACATATATATATATATAATTCAATTTATTTTTTTAATAAATATATACACTTTTTTGATCAAGTTAACAACAACAATATACATAAACACATTTATATATATAATATATAATCATTAAATTTATTTTTGTAATTTAAGTACTAACTTACTAATAATTACATGTATATAAATTAATTTATTTTTAGGGTAAAGTATAATAATGGTCACTGAACTTTTTTGAAACTTGTATTTAAGTCTCCCAACTTTTAAAACTTGCAATACAGTCCTCTAACATTTAGTCTGTTTGCAATGTGGTCCCCGACGTAACTGGTCGTTTGACGTCGTTACACTGCCGTTAGTACGTTTGCAATATGGTCACTGAACTTTTCAGGCGCTTGCATTTAGGTCCATCGACTTTTAAAACTTGCAACACAATCCTCAATTTCATTCTAAACTCCAAATTCATTTTCGATCTCGAATTTTCTTTTTTGCTTATCTCTTCTCATGTTCAGCATAACTTTTTAGTCGGAGATGCATGGGAAATTCTGATCTAACTTTGAATTTTGTAGAGGTGTTGACTTGAATAAGGGTTCATTGAGAGAATACTCGATCAAGGGACTATCGGGACCATCAACGATTCAAGGTGTAATGTTAGATACATGTCATCTCAGGTGAAGCATAGATGTTCGATGAAATGCTTGTGAGAAAAAAATGGGGTTAGAAATGAGGAGCTGACAAATACTACTGAGATGAACTAAGTATCATTGTTGAAAGTCGCCAACAACAATTGAAATTATTTTGTATAAATGACATATAATAATTTCTTTGTTTAATCCTTGTGGTTAAATATTTTTCAACATATGATCAAATATAATGAAATCCCAAACAGCACATTCACCTCTCAGTCTCTTTCGCTCACATGCACTCTCGTTTGGTTTTTGTTCTTCAGTTTTCCGCCATGTAAAATTGTAAAGCCAAGCAGTGCTATGTCCTTCAGCTTTTTATTTACAAAGAAAAAATGGAGGAAGAATTGCTGAAACGCAACATCGGTTGCGTTTGTTTCTTAGCCTCTCCCCTCACTTGCAAGAAGGTATTTATTTTCTCTTTTAGGTTATCCGGAAGTAAGCTTTTCCTCTTTTGCGCTTTCCCATTTTCAGCTCGCATTGTGTGTTTTTTGTTGAAATTTTTATGTTTCTTGAATTGCATGTCAAGGATCTGGATATTTAGTGTTAGTTTTGAACCAAAACCATCTAATTTTATTTCTTTCTTCTTAATAAAAACTTTTAGTACTTCTTATGGAAGATATTCAGTCCATCAAAATATAAGTGAAAGAGGATCCTAAGCTAAATTTTTTTAATCTTCTTGTTTGGTTTTTCTTTAAATCATGGAATTGGTTGTGAGTATCGACATGGTGAAATCGTCAGGCTTAATCCGAGAGACTGCTGGTACTAGTTTACTGGGAATTGTATTGATCGAACATGTGGTTTTTGGTGTCCTATGAACTTGTATTCTTTTTAATAAGTTTATGTTGATTATGGGACTGATATATCATGAACGAATTGGATTTTTTTACATGTTTTGGAAATTTTACAGTTGAATCTGTATTGAATTATAGTTTTAGCAGACAATCCTGCATGCACGTAACTCGAAAGACATCATGACAGGGTAGTATATTTGGAGCAACTACTTGATATGTTGCTCGTTCATTGCACATTTGCACCTTCATTTTTGGCATATATATGTTTGTTGCAGTGCCCTCTATGTTTTACAATGTCTTTTATTGCTGGCATGCCATGAATTTACAAGAATTATGGGGTCCTATGATTTTAGTTCCGTTATCTGCTTTAGATTTTTATCATGTTTGGCTATTGAGGAACATTAAACATGGAGCATTAGAAGCAATTATATGTTAAAAGGGTAGGTCATTAATGCATTTGCAACTGATAATATTGTATTTGGCATCTAATGTCTATCTTAAACAACCCATTTGACGCCTTAGCTTTTGGAGTGACTATGACCGAACCTCTTTCCCTTTATTTATTAAGTCCTCCTTTTGAATGAGTTATTAATTGATATTCTTGTTTTATTTTAGTTATTGCTTGGTTGTATGTTGTAGTCCTATGAACTAAAACTCTTTATTATTTTCGCAGTCGTTGGATGTGCATGCTCAAGTTCCATGCAAACCTATTGGATTGTCATACCAAAGTGCGGTAGCTACGAACAAGACAAATTGATCTTGTTACTTGTTGAGTTAATCGAATGACGAAATTGGCCAAGAGGGGGGTGAATTGGCAATAAAAATTTTGTGGAAGCTTTTGCAGAAAATTGAAAGTAATTGCACAGCAATTTACAGTGGTTCGACTTTCTCAAACAAAGTCTACGTCCACTACCTTAGCTATCCACACTAAGGATTTTCCAACAAATTCACTAATTTGTTCTTTCTTTTGAGGCCAAAGAGATAACCTTACAATCCCCTCAAGAGTATACCCCTACTCTTGAGAACACTCTTTTCTCAAAGAGAAGATTACAAATTTGCAAACTTACAAGAAAACCTCACAAGGTAAGATGTTTGCACAATTCTAGAACAAAGAAAAGAACACTCAAAGATGAATACAATTGAGCACAAAAAGTGTTCTTGAAAGCAAAATGAATATTGAATGAAAATGGGCTTTGAAATGCTCAAACTTGAGGTTTGATGCTTTCTCTTTGATTCTCTCTTGATTCTAGTTGCTTGATGTTTCTTGTTGTTGATCAATGGTTTCTAAGCTTGCTTAAATACACCTTGGATCACTTCTGAATGTTGGGGATTATTAGAGAAGATATTATAGCCGTTTTAGTGTGAAAACATTTAATAAAACAGCTTGGAGCGTGGGGGGAATCGGTTCCCCCTCATAGGGAATCGGTTCCCTAAGTGTAAAATTCAAATATTTCGACCGTTGTACAAGGGGGGAATCGGTACCCCCTTGGGGGGAATCGTTTCCTCCGAGCATACTGGAATTCTCGGAGCCAAACCATTCAGGGGGAATCGGTTCCTCCTATGGGGGGAATCGGTTCCCTCTGAGCAATCTGGAAATTTTGGCTTTGAATTGGTTCGAAATACTTTGTAAAATTATTTTGAAATTGTTTTATGATTAAAACTTAATTTTACACTTAAGTAAGGATTATAAATGATTTTTGAAATATTTGGAGTAATGTTTTGATATTCGAATAGTTATATCGAATATACTTAGAAAATCATTTGGAAAATCTTAAAATCCATTTAACTTAATTTGTTATATCGAAATATCAAAATGTTTCAACAATCTCCCCCTTTTTGATATAACAAAACATTTTAGTAATTTTAAGATTTTTGAAATCAAGTTTTGAAATTAAAATTACTCCCCCTTACTTTAACACTTCTTCAATTTGTTATGTAAAAACATTTAACACCTTTTCTTCTCCCCCTTTTTGTTAAATCAAAAAGACATTGTAAAACAAGGTTTTGAAATCATTTATCCAATTGATTTATTAATTATAAGCTTTAGCTGCTAAGATCACAATCAAAAGAGAGATTAGCCATTAGTTTTATAAATCAATATTCATAAATAATGTGATATGGCAAAATTGCTCATATTGCTAATGATGATGTAAATGATGCAAAAATGAATAAAACACCAAACATATAAGTTCACACCATTCATAAATCCAAAATCCAACAATCCACAAAATCAAACAATCCAAAATATCCAAAATGTTGAAACAATATTCTTTTTGTTCAAAGTTTTAAAACTAAACACATAATCAAACATCCGGATCGGTAGGAGGAAAACGGGCTCGCATAGCGGCCATCTCGTGTGTGAGTTCATTGATACGAGCGTTGGTTGATTCATTGTTTGCACGCATCTCCCGAAGAATCTCTAATTGTTGAGCTCCCATTGTGGATAAATGAGACTCTATAGAGGAAAAGCGCGAGTCCATGGTAGCGTATCGGAAATCGAATGTCTCCATAAAGGATTGAAAATATGGAGGCATTTGATGCGTTTGTTGTGCTTGCTCCTCGGGCTGCTCTTCGGGCTGATCAGGCTCATCTTCGGCTTCATCGATATCTTGCATTAATTGCTCAAGCTCGGGATCTTCGTCAGCTTCGGGTGGAGCTTGTGAAGAACTAGCTCCCGGAGTAGAAGATCGAACCCATTCACAGGTTTCTTTGTTCTTTACCCATCCCGCTCTCGTTAAGGAAAGGAGATTTATTTGTTTCTTAAGAGGAAAAACGACATCTAGACCGACTCTAAGCCCAGCTTTGGAAAACAGATTACTCAAAAAGCAACCGTAAACTAGAGATGAACAGTGTTTCTTGTTAGGAACAAGATTTACGGTTTCAACAATTTCAGCAAAAATAATCTGAGGTAGGTTAATTTTAATACGGTTTTCGAAACAATGTAACCACCAAAGATCCAAAGCTCTAAGAGTAGAATAAAGACCTCCGGATGGTCGAAACCACCAAGAAATCATTAGATGAAGAAAACGCTCATGTAGGTCTAAGACACTCGCACTATCTCTTCTTTTATAACGAGAACCTAAAATTTGTTTTTCATTCGAAATACCATCATTATCTAATCCAAATGTATTGGCTATATATGCCGGGTCAATATATAAGAATTGTCCTAGGAGGTAGGAACGAATTCCTA